TCCAATTCTTGCTGTTATAATGCTGTAATAAACATTTTTGTGTCTATTTCCTTGTGTACGTTTGAGTGTGCCTAGAAGTAGAACTACCGGATCATGAGTTAAGCACATTTTTAACTTACTAGATATCGCCAATCAACTCTCCAAAGTGGCACTTATCCATATTCCCACCTTCCATGTATGAGACTCCTGTTTCATATTCTTGACAGCACTCCATATTGTTAGACTTATTAGTTTTTTAACAATTTGAGCATGAAATGCTTTTTTATTTTAGTTGTAATTTGCATCCACCTGATTAATAGTGAATTTGGATATCTTTTCATGTGTTTATTGGTCATTTTGATTTTCTCCTCTTGAATTACCTATTCGTATCTTTTGCCCACATTTTTTAACTACTCTGGATACTAATTTTTTTGTCAATTATATGTATAGCATGCACCTCCTCCAGTCTCTAGTGTCTTTTAACTTTTTAAAAGTGATTTTCGATGCACAGAAGTTGACACTCCATTTTTTAAAGGCCAATTATCCCATGTTAAGTTCTTAAAGGAGCTTAGAATTTTTCATACGTATGTAGATTTAAAAATACATTTTAGAAAAAAAATTTTCTTCCACAGGCATCTATTTTTCAGCAAGATCTATTACTGTCTTATAGAATACCAGTGTTCCATGGCACAAATTTGGGAAGATGCTTCTCTAAGAAATAGGGAAGGACAGGAGGCTTTGAGCAAGGTAGTGACATGATAGCAAAAGAACATAGGGACAGAGAATAAATACTACTTATTGTTCCCTTATTGTTTTATGTGGGAAAGTTTGTGTCTGCCATCTTAAGTTTACAGAGTTGTTCAAAATATCTTGACTAATTTATCCAACGGCTAAATCTATCATTTCAATTGAAGGTTTTCTTTTACCATAACATTTGACCAGGCTGACATTCTGCATGCTTCTCTGCCAAGAAGCCTGGAAAACTTCTTTTCCGAAATACATCATTTGGAATTCTATATGCCGAACTTCTTATATGAAAGGTTTGCTGTTGCCGTAATATTCTAGTTATTCTAAAAGATTTAACATTCTGAAATTGAAGTGATGGGATCTAGTCACTTATATTAATTTCAGTTTACCTAAATGCCTAATAATTATCAATTGATCGTTAAATGCCTAAACCCTAGTGTGACAGAGGAGACTTTGAGCCCAAAGTTCCTTTCCTCACATTGTCAAGGAAACATTCTAGAGTCAAGTTTGACCCTTGAAAGACAGAAATAGGAAGAGGCTCTGTCTTGTAACTCACTTCTTATCCTCTTCCTTCTCTCTCAGTTACAGTCTCAGGGAGATAATGCTGATAATTTAAATGATGTTTAATTTCTTCATTGTTTCCCATCTTCTATTCTTTTGACTTCTATTTATCTTAACACAATTCTAGATTAACAGAGTTATTAAGGTTGTCTAGGCATTGTTAGCTGAATAATAAATGTAGTTTATAGTAACAAAAAATGTTATTAAAACGAACGAATGTAACTTAGAGAATACTGTCTTTTTAAATATCATTTTGAAAATATTTTAATGAAAGGAATAACTGAATAATTTCTAAGTAATCAAACCAACATGATTAATATGAGAAATTATTAAGGACATGAGATAAAACTAAAGGCATAATTTTAAAGCATTCAACTTAAATGCCTATAGCTCCACATGTATATAAAGATAATTTTATGATAAATTAATTAATAAACAAACAAAAGCAGTGATCTGGTTTGTTTCACTATAAAATACTTGTTTTAATATTTTATCACCACCTTGTAAGCCCCTCTTTTTTATGTAATAAAATAGCATCAATTATTTTCCTCTGCTGATAGATTTAGCTACTAAGAGATTCATTATAGATCATAAAAAGATCCAAATCATGAAGTTACTTTTAATACTGCAGTACTTCTTATTCTAGGAACTTGTCCGGATCTTTAAATTTCTCTTCATCAAGTCCTAACAAATATTATGGTATCTGCCCCCTCCCCATACACACATCCTACTACTCTCTTTTATTCTATCTTACAAGTTGGGCCCAGTCTTTGTCAGCCTAGATTGTAAGAATGTACCCAGAGAGAGGTTAACTAGAAGGGATGAGGAATTCTCTGTGAAGAATATATGGAAATTCTTAGATAAAAGGTATACTCTAAATAGCTTCACTTCAAGAAAGTCTCCCAGGAAAAATTGAAAATTTAAATAATCTTAGAAGTCTGCTGAATTGCCATTAGGCCTCAAAAACAATTTTCTTTTCTTCAGACCCTATTAAATGAGCCAACTTTGCAAAACAAGGCAAAACTAAAAATATTCAATATGAAAACACATATTCCTTTTCTTTTTCTGTAGTGTCCTCTTCCAGCAACAAATTAAAACAATAACATTTATCATTATGGTTATATAATACATTTATAAATGACACCAAAATTTAGGAAGAGGAAAGTATGGGAAAGGGGAGAAAGTCAAGGTTTTATAAAGGATGTAATTAAAATATTGGAGAAGTGTGTAGAAAAAAAAATAAAAATTTTGGCAGCTATGACTGATAAGTAAGGTTTCAAGTATAAGATGGTATTGACTGAAAGAAAAAGGTCTGGAGATCACAAATACACCTAATTGTTTCAAGAAGTGATATGGCAATACAGTAATGGCATTACATCTTAAACTATCAGGTGATCCTCCTCCTCTTTTTCAGAGTTAGTAAAATAAATCCCCACCCATTGTGCCTGTTACTTGAGGAAAACAGCAAGATCCTGTTTACCCTCTTTTGGTCTAGTGTAGATTTCTCTCCTACCTGGTCTGAAGCTTACACCGTTAGAGCCACACCTGCAGATTACATAATGCATATGGGGCATTGCCCAGAGGATACAGTTGCACCCAGTGAAGGTGAAGCCCTTCCTCTCCCTAGCATGGATTCCCTTGTCGGATCACACGATCACTGATGCATGGATTCAGGCCCTCCCTCCCCTTAGAGTGCTCATTTCTTTCAGGCAGTAACTTAGACTTTGGGTGTCGGAAAATAAATAGGATATATAGCCTTTTTCCTTTGGGAGCTCACTGTCTGGCAGGAGATATCAATAGGGAAACAAATACAATGTAATGTGATACATTTTTCTACTATAATTGACAAATGCTGAAAAGAATAATAGTCAGCATTAGCTAGAATGTGAAGAAACCGAACACTAAATACTACTGCTAGAAGCTCAAATTGGTAACAAGTTTTCTGGAGGGTACTTTGTATTATGTACTATATACAGCTCAAATTGGTAACAAGTTTTCTGGAGGGTACTTTGTGTTATGTACTACAGCCTTAAGAAACACACACACACACACACACACACACACACACACACACACGCAGCAACAACAAAAATGAATACCATTTGCCTCAGCAGCTCTATAGCTCAGGATTTATCCTAAACAAATCATTAGACTAATTTGCAAAGTTGTTTGCACAAATGTATATATTATAGCATTTGTTGTAACAGTGTCCCATAATAAGTGATTGATTAAGCTAATTTTGCTACATCCGAACAACAGAATATTATTATCACCATTAAGAAGGCCATAGATTTAAATGCAATGAATAGAAAACATGTTTTTGATACACTTTTGAATGAAAAGCAGGCTAAAAAGCATAATATGGAGGTGATGTAAATGGCACTTAATCTCTATGATCTTTCTCGCTCAAACCTATAAATTTAAACCCTAGCCTAATCATAAGAAAAAACATCAGACAAATCCCAATACTGAGGCATCCTACAATACCCTTCAAAACGGTCAAGGTCATCAAAACAAGGAAAGTCTGAGAAACAGTCAACCAAGAGGAGCTTGAGGCACCATAACTAAAGTAATGCGGCATCCTGGATGGGATCCCGCAACACAAAAAGGACACTAGATAAAAAGTAAGGAAATCTGAATGATCTATGGGCTTTAGTTAATAATAATGTATCAATAATCAGTCACTAATCACAATAAATGTATCATACTAATGTAGCATGCTAATAATGTGGGGAAGGGTGGAATGAAAACTCTAGTAACTTTGCAATTTTCCTGTATGTCTAGAAATGTTCTAAAGTATAGTATAAATTATTTAAAAGATATATATGTAAAATATATATGCACAGGAAAAAGAGTAGAAGGATATACAGCAAGATGTTAATTTTTTTTAGTCAGGGTTTATTGAGATATAATTTATATACAGTAAAATGTACTTTTTTAGGGCAAAGATCTATTAGTTTTGATAAATATATAGTTGTGTAAATGCCACCACAATCAAGATCTAGACCACTCTATCAGCTCTAATGGCCTCTGTAGTCCAGCCTCTGACAACCACTGTTTTCTTTCCTTATAGTTTTTGCCTTTTCCAGCATGCCATATAAATGGAATCATACAAGATGTGCTCTGTTGATTAAAATTTTTTTTCTCAACATGTAAGACGATGGGTAATAATTTCCTTATTCTTATTATCTTGCTTATCTCTATTTTTGGATTTTCTATAACGACTTGTAATTTAGAAAAAGTAAAATAAAAAGTAATTGTAATGGGTATTATACTAATAAATAAGGAAATAAAACTATTAGAATACATATGAGGACATTTTTGTTTAAGATATTTAAGTTGTAGAATTATTTTACTAATGAGTTAATTTTGAAAGGCAACAGAAATTAAGAGGTGGATTCTAGGATTAGCCAGAGCTGGGTAAAACTCCTAGCGATGCTACTGACTAGTTTTGTGACTTTGGCTCAGCTATTTAATATCTTTTACTCTCAATATCTTCATCTCAAAAATAGGATTAAAATAGCACCTGTCTCATATGGTTGTTAAGAGGATTGGATGACACTGCCTGTAAATTTGTGCATGATAGATTTTATCTACTAAAATGATTTGCATTGTTCCTTTGGCTCTCCTCATTCTCACGATAGTATCACTATCATTATTGAGTTCTTGGGAGGTGTTCAGCATGGAAGGGCATTCTTGGCCAAGGGAATAGCATGAGAGCAGACTTAGACAGTGTCTCCAAGGACAGAGAATGGTAAGTAGGGATGCAGGGAAAGTGGTGTGGATAATCTAGAGCCAGGTCACGAAGAACCTGCTCACCCAGGCCAGGGACTTCGTTCCTTATTCTTAGGCCCGAGGACAGAAACTGTTTTGTTTGTAATATATATACTATATATACTTTTGTTTGTTATATACATATTATGTCTTTCTATATACATATATACACACACGTGTGTGTGTGTATTACTTCTAGTGTCTCTCCGATAGTAATTTCACCTTTTATGCCAAGTCAGGCTCCCTTTTCCCCCTTCCCCCTCCACATGCTTCCAAAGCATTCCATTCATACCTCTGTCACTGCATTTGTAATGTGGCATTGTAATCAGTCATTGTTTATAAGCCTGTCTCTCCAGTTAGACATGAGCTCATGTAGACTCTGTCCCTTATCTCACACTATATTTCAAAGAGGTTAGCAAATCCTTAATTAAAAAAAAAAAATCCTTAATAAATATTCAGTGAATGAACAGCTAAAATTTTGCAGGGTGGGAAAAAAAAAAAAAGGAACTGTGAGAGGATGCATTCCATGGTAGATAATAGTCTATAAGAAGTAAAAGAAGAAACCAAGCACAGAATGATCAGACGGAGAAAAAGGATGAAAGGAGAGACGGACTGAAAGCTCTGGCAGAAGCAGTGATAAGGGCCTCTCAGGACAATTCACTTAGTGGTTTTGGCTAGAATAATCTGGGCAGATTCAATATGAATCAACTCTTAATATGCTACCATATTAAGTGGCAGCTCTGTAAATGACGATATGGAACAAAATCTAAAATATGCTGTTAACTGAAAAGAGAAATTGCAGAACAATGTGCGTATCTTAAGGGTGTGTGGGAAGTACGTGTGTGTAAACAGACACACACACACATACCTTTATATACTGTACATGCATGAGATGAAACCAGTAACAAGGGTTGTCTCTGGAAAAGTTTGCTTCTTTGTATTATAAAACTTTTAGTATCTCTGACTTTGATGATACCTATATGTATTAATCTACTCGAAATTTATTTTTAAGATCTATGAAGTGAAATTTAAAGTTACCTTTCTAAAATTAAAAAGGAAGCTCTATATATACATACACACAAGGAAGAAAGGTCTGGAATGATATATACCAAAATGTAAATGGTATAGCCATTGTTTGTGGGTATTTTTTATTTTCTCCTTTTCTAGCTTTTTTTTCTGTCTCAATTTTCTAATTCTGCTGGTTCCTCCTCTTTTCCCAGGGCTCAGTCCTTAGTTTCCTTTCTCTGTATTCTTTTGGTGATCTCATCATGCCTTGTGGCTTTAAATATCAACTATATGCTAAATAAATGTATACATCCAGGCTAGATCTGAGCTCCAGACATCCAACTGTTTACTCAACATCTCCACTTGGACATTTAAACATCATCTCAAGCATAACATATCCCAAAGTGATATGCGCCCCCTTCCAACACAAGAGTCTCCCATCTTAAGTCTATAGAAAATTCTTCCTTGCATTTGCTCAGGCTAAAACTTGGGAGTGATTCTTGGCTCTTTTTCTCACACCCCACAGCCAGTCTCTCAGTAAACCCTGTTAGTATGACCTTCAAATGGATCTAAGCTTTGACCATTTCTCATCTCCTTCATAGCTGCCATCTGGTCCAGGCACCATCATCTCTCATGTGGATTACCTCTGTGGTCTCCAAATTGATCTCCCTGTTTCTCCTCTTTACTCTCTACAGTCTATTCCCAACGGCAGCCTGAGGACTAGTGATCTATCAAAACGCAGGCCTGATCATGTCACTCCTTTATTCAAAACTCTCCAGATGCTTCCATTTCTCAAAGAAAAAACCCCAAACCCTTAAAATGGCCTGCAAGGCCCCACCTAATCAGCCCACACGTTCCCATCCTCCCTCTCACACAGCCTTACCTCTCTTACCTCATCCCTTCTTGCTCTTTCCCATGCTCATCTCTCTCAAGCCAGTCTGGCTTCCTTACTGGTCTTTACACCCCAGGCCTGCTCCCACTTAAGGCCTATGTGCAGGTCTTTCCTCTGCTCTTAATTCTCATGATTCATCCCTGCCCTTCCTTGAAGTCTTTGCTTAAAACTCACCTGCTTAATTAGGTCTTCCCCTACCACCCTATCTAAAATTACAGCTACCAACCCACAACCCCATCCCTCTTAACACCATTTCTTCCTATAATACGTATTCCTTTCTATTCTGTATAAATTATTTAATTATTGTAATTATTTTTTATAATGTGCTATGCTCACATTTGAATACAAGCTCCATGAGAACAGGCGTTTTTGTCTGTATCATTTGCTAGCCTAGAAAATAGAGTAGAATGTCAATAAACACATATTGAATGAATAAGCTTGTATTATTCATGTAATAAAGAATAATTTTTAAATAAAAGTCACTATAATTAATGAGTGCTACAAGTGTCTACTTATCCATAATTTGAAGGCTTTTTTGAATGTTCACAAATATAATATTTTACTTTAAAAAAAACCTTCCATTTTTGTTATCTTAGGAAAATATATTTCTGAGTTTTATTTATCTTTTTCCTCTTTACCAGGACTGGAGTAGCAGAGGGCTTTTTAAAATTTTCACTCTGGAAAACAAATGTAAGCCATTTTATTTCAGTGATCACATTTTCCACTGCAGGCAGCACTGCAGAGGAAAGATCAATGGATTTAGGGCCAGATGATCAGGGTGCTTATCTCCACCAGTACTGTAGCCCTTATGTGCTTTCAAATAAGTACCTTCACCTCCCTGAGCCTCCTTTTTCACGTCTGTAAAATGGGAATGGCGCCTCATAAAGTCGTGAAGATTAAATGGAATCAGAGCTAATATTTGCCGGGTGCTTATATCACGAAGTGGGTAATACTATCTCTGTTTTCACAGCTTAGGAAACAGGGGCCAAAGGTTGGAGAATTAATTAGGTGGCAGGGGCAGAACTCTGTTCCCCAAACAATGAGTCCAGGATTCTTTTCCCTCCACGCTCCATACCTCTTATCTCTTTGGGAGAGGGTAAAGGGTGGACAGAGTGTCTGAAGAAAACAAGTTGGGGACTGAAGTTGGACTCTCCCTTTAGCATGCAAGAGACTATCACCTTGAGCAAAGGTCTTTGGGAAAAACACTCTTGCCTCAACTGAGTGGTCCATAAACCACCTCAGGTCATCACAAATAGGAAAGGATTACACAGAATAAACAATAATAGGGGGCAATGACCCTCCCATTTCTCCTTTCCTATGCATGTAGGTAATTATGAAAGTCAAATTCTCCCCTCTTTGATTTTTCTTTTCAGGTCTCAGCTCAGTTCTTTTCACCCTACACGTGCGTACTCTTCAATCCACTGCCATCTTTCACTAATTCTTGTTTAATTGCTTCTCATAAATCTCTCTCCCTCTTTCTGACATCTTTTGTTCCATTTATAAACTCGAAAATAGCTCTATTCTGACCTGGAAGTGCAAAAGTAGCATTCATAATAAAGCTAAATCAGGGAAAAGACAACCGTTCACCTTGAACTGTCCTAGCTTCAGTGAACAATACAGTCTACTGCCCCAGACAGCAATCAGATGTCCCTTCAAAATTTTCTCAGACGGTTCACTTCCCTCTCTTCTAAACGAAGGTAGCTGTGGCAGACAGTGGTTTATGTAGCTTTGGGCTGGTTCAAACCCCGGTGCTACTACTTAGAAGCTGTCTGACTTTGGGCAGCTATTTAACTTTTGTTCCAGTTTCCTCATCTGTAAAGTGGGATCATAATGGAATCTACCTCCTAAGGTTATTATGATGATCAAATGGGTCAATTCATTTAAAGCACTTCCTAAGGTTATTATGATGATCAAATGGGTCAATTCATTTAAAGCACTTAGAATGGCTTCTGGCACAGAGCAAGATCAAAATAAACATGTGTTATTGATATTTCCTCAAATTTAAATATTCATTATTTAATTTTTTTCTCTATTTCTTACTCTTTAAAATTCTATTATCACAATAACCTTTTTCAAAAAGACAATTTTAAATTACAAATACAGTGTTTCGGTCATATGATCAATTAACTATACTCTTATTAAGTAACCTGAAGATCTGACTACCACTCATAATACTGTTTCTATGGAAAGGTTACTTAGAATTCAGAAATATTTACAAATAAAATTTTGAAGTGCATTTTATCTGAAAGATAGACAATGCTTATATTAAAAATGAAAATGTACATAAAACTATGATGTATGATTTACCAGAAAATTCTTTACTTTTTCTAAATAGGACTTATTAAGCAATTCATCTATTTCTGTTGACATAGCTGGTATGGATCAGGTACTTGTGAAAAATATGAATCAAAGGTGAAGGGATCCAAGATCTCCTCACTCACTCACAGAGCTGGGATTTTTGCAATCAAATTCACAAGTGTTATAAAACACTGTGTTTGTATAAAATAACTACTTTAGGCTACTCCATCTGCACTTGCCTGAGTGGTCAGTTTCCTGAGGATAAGATACTCGGCTGAGGAACTCCGATCTGCAGGGGAAGAAAATACAAAGAGCAGCAAAGTTAAGACTTAGAAGGAGGAAGCCAACCCTACTAGCTACTTTTTTATCTCTCCAAATAAGGAAACACCACTGTGCTTTGCAGACCTGGTGAAGTTCTCTTTATTTTGGAATTAACAACAACAAAACATGTTGGTAAGACTGCTAGATTTAGCAAAATAAAGAAACAAGAAATCCAAAACCCAAACTCAACAACAACAACAACAACAAACAGAATGCCGGTTAAATTTTATTTTCAGATACATGATGAATACTTTTTTAAATATAAGTATGTCTTAAATATTGCATGGAACTTACATGAATAAAGTATTCTTTGTGTATCTGAAATTCTAATTTAATTGACCATCCTGTATTTAATCTGGTTACTCTATTTATTGGGAGATGATTTATTTCTAGACATATACTTGCTTTCCTGCTCACACTCATGTGTTCTCTCTCTGTCTGTCTCTGTCTGTCTGTCTGTCTCT